TGACCGGGATCGGGACTTGCATCGGGTTGAGCCATTCAAACGAAACAAACACCGGCTCGCCAACAGCGCATTCGAGAGAAGCTTCTTCCTTTTTCAGGCTGGAAAGGTTGGACTTTGGTAGCAGGCGAAACGCCTCCTGCTCAAGATCCTCCCAAGATGCCCCCGCCAGCTCAGCGTCGGCGTGGGTGCTTGAATGGGAGCGGGAGGGGTCCGTGGCCGACAGGGTAATGGTAGAGTCGTCAAGCGCGGGAATGGGAAGCGTCGCCATCTTCTCCAGCACGACCACTGCGTCTGCAGTTGCGGTGAACTGCTGGTACAAATAGAGAAACTCGGCCAGGTATGCCCGATGCACGGCCGCCGACTGCTTGGATTTCCGGAGCAGCTTGATAAAGTAGTCGACTGCCACGTCGTACTGGTTTCGCTGGATCGCCTCTTTGCCAAGAGCAAAGTTGATGTGGTCAGTGATGAGCGTCCAGCCAAGATCGCCATAGATGGCCAGCGCCGTCTCGTAGTTCACCTTGGATCGGCTTTTCTAGCATCGGGTAAGCAGCCAAGCACAAACCACGCCGCACTTTAGATATCTGTATGCCGACAGAAAGAGATGAAATGCATATCTCCTCGGCATGGGCGAGTATCCGCGCAGGAAACAGATGGCCGCCTGTTCTAGAAAAACTGCGCATTTCAGATCGTTGTCCTAGCGTCAGCCTGCAGCCCTACGTCCTTGGTCATGCGGATATACACGAATGCCGCCTCCCGATATGCCTGCTGCTCCTTGATGGCCTCTGCCACCCAGATCGTTGTTCGGTAGGCAAACAGCGGTGCCTTTCCGTCCATGTAGCTCTGCACCGCGGCGTCGTACGAGGCTTCGTAGTTTGCCCGACCTCCTTCGGCCAGGAGGATGTTGGCGATCGTGATCATTTCCTTTGGTAAGCCAGCCCGACAAACCTGGACACCGGCGTAGAACCGGTAGTATTTCTCGGTGGCAAAGTCCTTTTTCACCAACTCGTATACCGAAAGCGCATATTTGTAGTCGCGGATCATGAATGCAAAGTCGCCGAGCCGCCGCATGATCATTTCGGGACTCCCAAAGGGAAACATGGTGACCTGGGTGGTCGGATCAACATACGAAGACGGCTGGCTGGAGTTCTGTTTGGAGCTTCCGCCAAAGTACTTTAGGCCAACCTTGAACAGCCGGTTTGAAATGCCCCTTCTGGTCGAGGCCACGTCGCGTTCCCATTCCTTGATCCGAGATGCAATGTGTCCGTAGATCTGGGGGGCAAGAAACTGGGACATCAATGCGTCCACCGAGGCAAAATCGTTGGGAGAAAGTCTCGTGCCCCGGCCGGTGGATATGGAGTTGCCTCGTGCCCGCAGATGGAAAACCTCTCCCGACATCTTGCGCATGGGCGTGGTGGGCGAGCCCTGCAGGGCGGCGGCAACGGGATCATACTCGGAATTGACCGGAGCCCATACGTCGGGAACAGGAGCCGCATCCTGCGGATTGGCAGTGTTGATGGTGAGCACATGGGTGGGATATAAATGCTTCAGCTGCGAAACGACGGCAGGACTAGCGATCAGCAGATGGAGATTGTTACTCGACATGCAGCGACTCTTCGGGATCATGCACAAAGAGCACCATTGTCAGGAGATTGGGATCCATGAATCTAGCATCAGCCGGCTGCCAAATACCCTTTGGAAAACACAGGCGGGAGGGGCTTGGCTGCCAGCGCCTTGACGGTTGCCATTGGGTCCGGATCTGACGTGGAAATGCAAAGCAAATCTATCGTCAGCGCATTGGCCGCTTACGCCCAATCGGATGCGAAAACGTTTCATGCTCCGACGCACCCAGGTACTTTCCAAGCACAGCTCGGTACTGGTGGAACCATGGGGTCAAGTGCTCAAAGACAGCGTTTTCCCTCCACTCCTCCACCTGGGCCTTTGTTTTTAATTCAGGCAGTCCTTCCGAGTGGGTCTGGACCCAGGCCCTCAAGTCCAAGGATTGCGTCCGTAGTTCAAGCTGTGGCATGGGTTGGAAGCGCAGAAAACAGCGATTCAGCACCACCATGTTCCCACTGGCATCACTGGTAGAAACTATGCTGTCAATGGCCCACCGACACCTACTGTTGTTGATTCGCTCGCCAAACGGCCGCAGAAAAGAGCAGAAATCTGCCAGACCGTTTTTCTCGGCCAATTTGTTGATCCTCGAGCAGACCGAGACGGCCACCAGCGGTGACGTGCAAAGAGATAGAAAAGCGTTGCCTTCCATCGACTTGTTTGCAGGCAACCGCAAAACGCGTCTTTTCTCAACAATTTTCATGTCGTTTTTTGAGAATTTCGACATGAACAAAATGCGTTCGTTAGTCGACAAGGCAACTGCGGTGGTGATGCAATACGGTGAAATGGAAGCAAAAGTGAGACAAGGTAGACCGTGGTTGCTGAGGCCGCAGTCACGAACAACGACCCTTGGGGTAGCTCTGCCACTGATATGATGGAGCTGGCCAGACACACCTACAACTAGTAGGGACACTCGTCGTCTAACGGCCAGCCAGGATTTTATGGAAATCATGAACACCATCAGCAAACGGTTGAATGAGCCGGCCGGTCCCACCTGGCGGCAGACATACAAGGTATGTTGATGGCGTGGGTGTGGTCGAGTCGTCAGGCGTCACGGGACGAGGCTGACCAATAGGGTCTCCAACTGCTAGAGTTTTTAATCATCAACGGCTCCGAGCAGGTCATAGACGATGCCAAAAGAAGAATCTATGAGATCAAGGGCTGTGAGACCTACCAATACATGGACGACAAAAGAAAGGATCAGGGAATCAACAGTATGCTGCCGGGTGCTTATCGTAGTACGACACCGAGCAACAAAGATCATAGAGCTGCTAGGTAGCGACGACATGATCCGCGCAGAGCGGCAGAAGGCAAAAGGTGCGTGCAGTCCGCTTACCCAGACAACAAGAGCAAATACACCGGCGTCTCTTCGTACGACATGAGGTCTGGCAGCTCATCGTCGGGCGGCTTCGGCGGCTCGTCCACCAGATACGGCGGCTTTGGCTCCGATTCCGTGAGGTCCTCGGGTAAGCAGGGATGCCGGGTAACCGCAGGAGGATTTCGGGACGAGGTGTCCAGCGAACCCTACAAGTCTGCCCCCATCAAAGGTATGCAGAGTCAGCCTTACGGGACAATAGAGGAGTCGCCAGTAGAGGCGATAAAGGCAGAGCCGGCCAAGCCCGCAGTTCCTGTGGTGAATCTGCTCGACTTTGGCGATGATGACTTTTCTGGCTTTGTCACTGCGCCGGCAGAGACTCCGTTACCAGCCAACAATGTCCCTGCATTCCCGGCACCACCCGCATCCAATGCGACGGGGTTTGCGAGCTTCTCGGCCCAACAGCCGCTGTTTGCCAGTTTTCCTCCGGCACCCACGCACCCTGCCAGCGTCTCGGCGACTGCAAACTCCACCGCTGTGGGACTGGGCCAGTACAGCACTCCTGTAAAGTCTCCTGTGTCCCCACCGACCCAGCAATTTGCAACCTTTCCAGCTCCAACAAACACGTTTCCGGCCGCCGGCTTCCCCTCTCCGATGAACCCCTCGCAACCGCAAGGATTCCAAGCATTTCCAGCTGCCAGCAGCACTCCTCGTGCGGCGGCCCTGGTAGATGACTTTGGCGATTTTCAATCGGTGTCTCAAACCCCAGTTCAGCCCAAGCCAGCTGGAAAGACGCCATCAGAGGACCACTTTTCCAAGCTGGTTTCTCTTGATGCATTCTCTCTTGGATCTACCGGTGCGAAAAAGGACGCTCCTGGGCCGTCACTGAACTCTTTGGGGGGAACCAGCAACTTTCTTAATTAAAACTGTCTAATAGCACCGTGCAGCAATGCCGAGCAGTTCCGTTCTGCCGCAAGAACTATGGATGATAGTGTGTGCCTATCTTGATGCAAAATCTCTGGCTGCTATGGAGCGGGTCTCGTCCAAGCAGAGGCTGCTTTCCCAGTCTGTGGAGGGGCAGTTGCTATGGAAGAAACTATGCTTGTCGACATTTCCGTACTTTTTCTGGGTTGGCAAGGAGCCGGAATCTCTGCCCTGCGGTTGCGAAGGATGTCGGGCCGTGGCCAGAAACCCGTATTTCGATCCGGTGGAGCTGGCGGCTTCCAGCTGGCGACAGTGCTATCGCCTAATCATTACCGGAATGTACACCGGGCTGGTCCATGTCCACAACTCGCTGGTGAACCGGGAAATGTCGGCCTTCCTCGGGCTGGCAACATACGACAGCCGGTCAGACTCTTATTTGCTGTCGTACAAAGACAGCTACATAGCTCGCTACACCCATGGCGAGATGATCAAGGTGCAACGAGCTTCCGGAGCGTTCGACGAAGAAATCCCCCGAACGCACTTCCATCGGTTTAGACGAGTGCCCGTCGACCTGCTTGCAGAGGATCCGAGGGCGCTCTACTCCAAGGCGCTTTTCAGGGAACCTCTGACCTCGGACGGGAGACCAGCCTTTGTTCCTGGAGACGAGATTGAAATCCAGTGGAAGCCGGCCCGACAGGGGCCGTTTGCCTGGTGGCGGGGATTTGTCGTGGCATCGTACTTTGACGAAATGTACAGATTTGACACTGGATCTACTCTCGAGATCGACAATGAGCCTTTCTCGCCAGACCACGATGAGGGCGTGTTGGTGGTGTTCAACCACTTTCCGTTCGATTCGCCCTGGAGACACATTGTAGTGTCGCTGCTGGGTGTTGAAAAGGTCTCGACTTTGGGGATTGTCGGGGGCATCCGGCGGGTTGCATGCAAAAACGAGTCCAAGAAGTGGCAGGACCTTTTTTCGCAGTCGCAAGCCTCTGTTGGAAGAGAACACCAGCAGGCCCAGCAGCCGCAGTGACTCGCAGTCACTCCATTGCCGGTAGTCAAGTATAATAGAAACCACTCTCGGTAGCATGTGAGCCTGTCCATCCTTGGCAGCGTCGGTCAGGACTGCGGCAAAACGAATCAAAAATGCATTGACGGGGAATCGAACCCCGGGCACACGCTTGGAAGGCGAGTATGTTACCACTACACTACCAATGCTTGATGGCAACAAGACACCAGAGCAGTATTTGATTAATTGAATCACCAATGTTTGTAGATTTGCTGTCGACAGTCTTTCTCATCGACTTGGTTTTTTCAGATGGTGGGGCATGGCCACCTCGGGGTTTCCTGAATTCAAGTCAACTCCGCTCACGATGCTGGCAGCCAACGACATGAAGAAAATCGCTGAAATGATCGATCCCAATGCCGAGGGAATCGAAATGGGTCCGGTGGAAGAGGTCGACATCAACCACCTGGACTATCGCTATGTGAGAGAGTGCAAGGACAAGACCGAGCTCAAGGCGTTGCTGGCCTACTTGCGGTAAGCGCCGTGCGGCTCTCATCGGTGGCAGCAGCGGCAAGGAGGGGTCGTATCCAGAGCTAGAGCAGGCAATGTTGGTCCGGCTGTCAGAGCTCGACCCGGTCAATCACTCGTACGACACGGAGCATCTAACTGCAGTTTGCCTCTGACTCCCTTGGAGCAGTACCAGGTCAAGGAACAGGTCGCGCTGGAGCTGGAGGTTTGCTGTTTGGTCCAACCGTAGGAATGGGCCAAGTCGGTGCCAAACAAGACTGCCCCCCTGCCGCCCGTCACTAATGCCCGGGAGGCTGTAGCTGCTGCGGCGGCACCGTCCACCCCGTATGCTGCCGCCAAATCGCAGCAATCCGGCGAGTCGCGCATAAAGTCCAACGACTATCGCTCCTGGGATCGATTCGATGTCGAAGGGGAGCTGGAGAAGATCGAGCAGTCCGCTGCTCCGTCGGTGCCTGCCAGGATCAATGCCGCAGCCGAAAAACATGCTGCCATTCCTGCTGGCCTGACGCCGCAGCAAATGGCTCGCTATGCCGAAAACGAAAAGCTAAAGGGAAACGACTGCATGCGTGCTCAAGAGTACGAAGATGCGCTGTACTACTACACGACCAGCATCAAGCTGAACCCCACTCTGTCGTGCTACAACAACCGAGCCCTGACCTTTTTGAAGCTGGAAAAGTACAGCCAGTGCATCGATGACTGCACCACAGCGCTTGCAATGGAAAAGAACTTTAAGGCACTCCTGCGACGGGCCTCCGCATTCTATTCGGTTGGACGGTACCAAGACGCAACCGTGGACATTGATGCGTCCCTCGAAATGGAGCCAAACAGCAAAGAGGCTAAAGATCTGCGCGAGAAAATCCTGCAAAAGTGGAGCGACGTGGATGGCACGATGGAACAGCCGGTGCGTGCAAAGTCCAGCAAGATGAAAATAGTGGAAATCGACAGTGACGAAGCCAGCCCGCCGGCGCTGCCAGATGCCCTGGAAAAAGTATCGCTCCAGGACATGCTGAAGGAGGAAGCAGGCGGCTCGAAAATCACTGTCGTGGATGTGGAAGACGACTCTAGCGACGACGAAAACTAGCAATAACATTGTGCTTTAATAGTCAGTGTTGGCAGTTTAAAGAATAAATGGGTGTTTAGGGCTTCTTGGCGTCCTTGAACTCAGCATCAACAGGCTCGTCTTTGGAAGGCTCGCTGCTCTTGCTTTCGTAAACCTTCTGGAAGAGCTTGAGGGAAGACTGCTGCAGAGCGTCTTGCTTCTCCTTGATTTCCTCGGCGGTGATTGCATCGGCTCCCTTTGCAATAAAGTCGCGCAATTCTTGGATCTCGGTCTTGATCTTTTCGGCCTCTTCGGCATCGATCTTGTCTTTAAAGTCGGCCATTGCCTTTTCGGTGGAGTGGATGACAGAGTCGGCGCCGTTCACAGCCTCGATGACTTCCTTTCTCTTCTTGTCGGCTTCGGCAAACTGCTCGGCGTTCTTGACCATGTTTTCGATTTCCTTTTCAGAGAGACCAGAGGAGGCGGCAATTGTGATGGACTGGTCAACTCCGGTGTTCTTGTCCTTGGCAGAGACGTTGACAATGCCGTCGGCATCAATGTCAAAGGTCACTTCGATTTGAGGAGCGCCGCGAGGAGCTGGGGCAAGGCCGGTCAGATTGAACTGGCCAAGCATCTTGTTGTCACGGACCAGCTCACGCTCGCCCTGGAAGACCTTGATTTCAACGGTGGTTTGGCCGTCGGCGGCGGTGGAAAAGACTTGCGACTTCTTGGTAGGAATCGTGGTGTTTCTATTGATGAGACGGGTAAAGACACCGCCCAGGGTCTCGATTCCAAGCGACAGCGGAGTGACATCCAACAAAAGAATCGACGTGACCTCTCCAGACAAGACACCTCCCTGGATGGCGGCACCAATGGCAACGGCCTCGTCAGGGTTGACCGACTTGGTAGCTTCTCTTCCAAAAATGTTTTTTACAATGTCTTGGACCTTGGGGATTCGGGACATGCCTCCGACCAAGATGACTTCGCTAATGTCCTTGGTGGAAATGCCGGCATCCTTGATGGCCTTCTTGCAGGGTTCGACGGTTCGGTCCATGAGCTTGCTGGTGAGGGACTCGAACTGGGCACGAGTGATGGTGGTGAGAATGTGCTTTGGTCCCGAGGCATCGGCAGTAATAAACGGCAGATTGATTTCGGTCGAGACAGTGGTGGACAGCTCACACTTGGCCTTTTCCGCCGCTGCAACTGTTAGCCAAACACCCCGTACCTTCACGGATGCGCTGCAGAGCCATGCGGTCGGTCGAAAGATCGATGCCGGTGTCCTTCTTGAACTGGGCAACAAAGTGGGCCACAAGCAAGTTGTCGAAATCCTCGCCACCCAAGTGTGTGTCGCCGTTGGTGGACTTGACTTCGAACACACCCTTTTGGATTTCCAGGATGGAAACATCAAAGGTACCGCCACCCAGATCGTAGACAGCAACAATCGAATCGTCAGACTTGTCAACGCCAAAGGCAAGGGCTGCTGCCGTTGGTTCGTTGATGACACGCAAGACGTTCAAACCAGCAATGGCACCGGCATCTTTGGTGGCCTGACGCTGCGCATCGTTGAAATAGGCAGGAACCGTCACAACAGCGTTCTTGACCGGCTTGCCCAGGAAGCCTTCTGCAGTTTCCTTCATTTTCTGCAGCACAAACCCACCGACCTGGGCTGGCGAGTATTTCTTGCCGCGAGCCTCTACCCAAGCATCGCCGTTGGTGTGCTTGATGATCTTGTACGACACCGTCTTCAAATCGGCCTGGACGGCAGCATCGTTGTACTGACGACCAATCAATCGCTTGGTGGCAAAAAGAGTGTGTTCGGGATTCACCACCGCTTGGCGCTTGGCAGGAGTGCCCACAATTAGCTCGCCGTCCTTTCCGAAAGCAACAATGGAGGGAGTGGTGCGCAGGCCTTCAGCGTTTTCAATCACACGGGGGTTCTTTCCGTCCATAACTAGAGCCGTCAATGCCGGTGCTCAGACACTTACCAGCAACACAAGAGTTGGTGGTTCCAAGATCGATACCAATGACTTGGCCTTGGACTTTTTCGCTAGAACATGAGACACCAACGAGCGCACCTGTAGAAACGACTGGGAGTGAAGGATTTCTAGAGAAATTAATTTATTTTCTTGACTGCGGCCGTACCTTGAGAAGGGGGCGAAAACGATACATTTTCTCTGTTGGTGCAAGATGAAAGTTTTTTTCGAATCTCTTGTGGCGAGTCACCCGTTCCAGAAATTTCGACACCTTTTATTCAAACCGTCACCGTGCTACGGAGCTTGGATGGTGCCATTTTCTTGGGGGCCGAGTCGGCTGCCGGCTTGCGAGGGGATGCTGCCGGAATGGCCTTTGCAATCCTGGTGACCTGGGAGACTCCATCTACAAACTTGGTCCGGAACAGCACATTTGCGTTGTTGTACATGCCGTCCTTCAAGGACACCAGAATGAACTGAGATGCCCGGAACCGGGTCTTGAGCAGCTTCCCAATGTTTTGTGTGTGCGAGAGGTCCAGCGCTGCATCAACCTCGTCCAGGATATACATCGGTGCCGGATTGAACTGCAGCAGTGCCAGAATCAGAGACAGCGCTATCAACGACCGCTGTCCGCCCGAGAGCTCCGTCAGCGACGATTTCCACACCCCGCCCAGACACACGCGGATTTCCAGCCCCTGGGTAATGTCCATGCCCTCGGGCGGTTCCAGCTTGCAGGTGTTGCCTGGCAGCAGATCGCCAAAAATGGCCCCAAAGTCGCTGCAGTTAGGTTGGCAAAGCACCTACGCATTCACCTTTCGCCAGGTTTTGTTGAGCTGGTCTAGCTTCTTTCGATCCAGATACTCCAGCGTCGACGTGATGGACGTCTTGTCCTTTTGCACAACTGACAGCTTCTGCTTCAGAGCCACCTCCTTCTTCTCGACTCTATCTTGAGCTGCCACCGACCCACCTGTCAAACATTTCCAGTGCGCTTCGGTCAACCGTCCTGCCCAGCGTATCGTGGCGGCCCTTCAGATGTTTGATGCGCTTTGACATCTCGTTGACGTCCAGCTTGGAAAAGTCGTAGATGGTGCCTTCTGCTCCAAACAGAGCCTTTTGGTCTTCGATCCAGGGGTGCTCTTTTTCGAGACTCGCGAGGCGCTTGGCCGACTGCTCCCACTCGTGCTGCGTGCTGCTCAGCTCGATTGCCAGCTGCTGAACCTCGAGTTTGTTGTCTTCGAGCCCTTGGGTTTTGGTCTTTAGGGACTTTTCCAGCGACTGCAGCTCCTTGTCAAACCGGGCCAGAGACTTTTTCTCTTCGTTCAATCTGTCGCTGGCGCTTTGGTACTTGTCCTAGCATAAGCCTGCAGTCGGTTACTCGCACCTCGTGTTCCTTGAGCAGGGCTGCCATCGCCATCTCTTCCTTCCTCGACTCTTTCAGATTGGCCTGCAGGGCTGCCAGCGATTCCTGGATGCGGGAAATGTCGTTTTGCATCTGGGAAATCTCTTCCTTGGCAAGCAGAATCCGCTCCTGCATCTTTCCCACCGAGGGCTCGAGCTTCTCCAGCTCTTTCTTGGCAGACTTGATTTGCTTTTTGAGCGACTCCACCTTCGATTCGCGGTTGCTGCTCAGCTCTTCCATTTCCTTTTGGATCGACTGCACTTTTTCCTGGGCAGC